AGCCACACTTCCTGATAGACAGTTCTAAATGGGCATGGCCAGATTGGCCCTGGTGACTGCCATGTTTATGTTCCATTATCAACAGGCTAATAAACCCATTGTTTCTTTAGATACGTGAATACCCTCAATCAGATGAGTCTCGTCTTGTGTACCCATGGAATACTGTGTTTCTTGAGGTGATTTTATACATCTCTTGCCTGAGCAACTATGTATTTAATAGTTTAGCTCTCAGAGGACAATTCTGTTTTCCTTAATTCTTCATTTCTGGGGAGGTTCCTCAATTTTACTATTGCCACATACAGTTCACTTTTATTCTTTTGACAATGGTTGGGCTCTTTTTATATATTAGAATTAGAGGCTAACATTTTAGTTAAGAATTCTATTATGTTTTTCAAAAAACGTAATTTACTTCCAGGATTAAAAGAGACCTCATTAATGAAGAGCCTATGAGGCCTTTATACTGAAATCATGACATCACAATGGTTGGGTCACTTTTCACCTACTAAAAACTCCCTCAAAGAGCAGGCAGGCAATGGAATCAGAAGGAAAAGAATCAAGATCTCCAAGTGTGGATGCCAATCTAAACCTGCAAAAGGATGGCAAGTGCCCTGATGGTATTTTTGGTTCACAGTTACTTTGAAATGAAGCAGCTCTTTGTGAGAGCCCAACATAGAACCAGGCATTTTTTTTTTTGTCATGCTTGATATAGATATCAAAAGAAATAAATCCAAACTACAGCATTTGGTTGACCTTTTCTGGGATGGGGGTAGAGGTAAGGGTGATTGAACGGAGACTATCCAAATGAGTGTCACACAGTAACAGAAGGAGCAACTTTTTACTGGAGAGGCTAGAAGCTGCAGGTGGGAAAGGTCTGAATCTGCTTCAATAGGAACAGACAGGATGTGTCTTCTCTGACCTCTTGCTACCCTCCTCTTTATGTTGGGCCTTCTGGGTGAGTGTGCTCAGAATCTGATTTAAATCCAATTAAATCTGAGACTAGAGTAAACACACATGTATATCATCTAGAAGACAGTACTAAAGGATTCTGCATTTAGGCCAGAGCAGCTGTATCTTTTCTATTTAAGACTTGTTCTTCTTCTTAGTATCTTTGGGGGGAAATTTTGGCCGTAAATATTGGAGGTTTTAATTTCATATGAAAGCTGAGTGTCCCTCTTTTCAGTCCTTCCCTCTTTTTTGGTCTAGGCCAGACTTACTGTCTTAAAATACAATCTGATCAGGTCCGTCTCCTTCCAGGGAGTCCCTATCACCCCCAGAAGGTCCAAGGGGACCTCCGATTTCCTGTATGATCTGGTCCCTCCTGGCCTGTCTAGCTTTGTACCCTTCAACTTCTCTTCTCACATAGAATATTCTCTCAAATCCTTACTCTTGCAGTTTCCCTACCTCAGAGCTGTTGCCCCTGCATGCTTTTGGGCCTTGTTTATTTTGCCAAGGATTGGAAATTACACAGATTCTGGAGGAAAACTGCCCAACCCACATTTTGCCTCTTGCAACTTTGTTAGTGATATGACCTTAGGCAAGTTACTCCACCTTTTGGCGCCCAGTCTTCTGTGCTCTAGAGCAGATTGATAATATCTATCTCACATGATTCTTGTGCAGATTAAATAAATTATCATGTATAAAATACCGAGTACAGTGACTGGCACATGGGAAAGTGCTCGATGCAGACATCTACTTACCCTACACAACGAAGCCTAAACATCATTTCCTGTGTAAAGTCTTGTCTGAAAAGCCTCCCCTCCCCTGTGCAGGAGAGTTGGTTTATTTAATTTCCACATTGGGCTTTATATATCTCCTGCCATTGCATTTATCCCCACCTCAACCCTCATTCCACACTGTCCCACACCACAGTGTGCATTCTCATTATGTGTGTTTGTGTGTGACTCATCCTCAACTAGCCTGTGAATGTAAGCTCCTCATTGTCTTCTACTCCCCAGTGGGTAGCACAATAACCAGTATGTGGTAGATGTTTTGTGAATGTTCACTGAAATCATAAAGAACCATATTTCTGAGATACAGCAACCTATAAACATACTTTCATTATCATTGAGCACTTTCTAGGAAGGAGATGATTAAGGGCTACTCTGTTAAGGGCACGACTTTACAGTACTTGCATATCCCTTGTCAAAGTAATATAAAAGGTCATCGGGTATTACAAGACTTTAGTTAGAATACTGCAACATTTTCATATCATAGAGATAGATGAAGTGAATTGATCAATCGAGGACTCAACTTGGAGTATTACCATCCTGAGAACTAGCTAGGTGATCTTGGACAAGCCACTTAGCCTCAATATCATCTAATTAGTATACTGGAGCAATGATGAACTATCCCTACTGCCTACCTCAGGGGAGTGTTAGAAAATGAGGGAGTATAATATTTGTGGACACTGTAAATTGATGAATATAGGGAAATTCTCAACAAGCTGTAATTTTGCTCCATTTCCCCTCCCATCCCACCCCAGGGGATGTTTGGCAGTATGTGGAGACATTTCTGGCTGTTACAGCTGAGGGGATATTACTGGTGGAGGCCCTGGATGCTGGTAAAAAATCTAAAGTGCACAGGACAGTCCCCCAACAAAGAATTATCAGGCCCAAAATGTCACTTGAGCCAAAGTTGAGAAATCCCAATAAGATGTACCATGACATTTCTTAACATTCAGTTCTGTTAATATTTATTCATGCAGTCTTATTGAACAAAACAAGGAATGGCAATAACACTAAACACTTATATTTTACAAAGTATAACTTGGAAACTCGTGGATTTATTGAATTGTAGCTTTTCCATCTGCCATTCTTTGTCACCTTAGTAAACTAGCTGCTATTATTGAACCAGGTGCTTTACCTGTATTAATCCATTTAATCCTCACAACAACTCCGTGGGTTAAGTACTTTATTAACCCTACTTTACAGATGAGGAACCCAGCAAAGTAATAAAGCTGGGTTTGAACTCCGTCTTACTCAAGACATTGTGCAAAGAGCTGGGTAAGACTAAATCTCTTCATGCTTAGTCCTCCCCTAGGAGTCAACCGACTTCCGGCTTTAAATATTGTTTTTAAGCTTGTTAGATTTTCCTTTCATTGCCACCTTTGGCAGAGAAATGACTGGTTCATTGGTTCTTCTTAACAGAGGACCTACTGAGTCTGAGGTATTGGACTGATTGGAGAGGAAAACAGCGACAGCTCAGAGAAGGGCATAAGAAAATAAACCTCTCAAGAATTTGGGATCTGAGCCTGGTAATCTATGTAAAAGCACTTTGCAAATTGCAAGGCAGTGGCTTTAAAACTATAATATATTCAAAATTACCAGGGGAGATTGTTAAAAATGCTGATTTCCCAGCATTACCCTAGGAGCTTCTGATTCAGCAAGTCTGGGAGGATCCCAGGGAGCTGCCTTTATAACAAGCTCCCAGGTGAGCCTAATGCAGGTGGTCCAAGCATACACCTTGAGAAACACTCTTGTACACCAGGGGTGCGGGGACAAGAGCTATATAATCCCAGAAGAAGATTTGGGTTTGCCTGCACATTAATTCAAACCACCTGGGTGGGAGCTTAGTTGTGCTATTCTTGTTCCGTTTACTTGCTAGTCTTAGGTCCAGGAGCTTGAGTGAGAGGGCACGGATGGGGAGGATGGAAAGGAACAGGGCAATTATGTGCATTTCCAGGGAAGTGCCGGTTTCTCTGTGCATGGTGAAGGAGCTGTCACCAGAGTCCCTTCTTCCTGCAGTGTCCCCCTAATTGGCTGTTGTAGCTATCAGTCTGCCCCAAGGGAGTTTAGTAAAAACAAGGAGAATGAAGAAAAGGCGTAACTTGGAGCATGAACAAAAGGGCCCCCAGGGTGGGACCTCACACCATCTCTACAACCTTTCCCCTCCTTTATCTTCTCTCCTTCACAGGGTCCAATAAACACAGGTTGTCGGGACAAACAGAGCTTTATCATTGCGGGAAATTCTGATGGCCCAGAATTCTGCCATAAAGTGATGTGCTATTGCAGAAAGCTGATGCCCTTAACCTTCTTGCTGAATCTCATTGCCTTGGTGGTGAACACCAGGCTGGGGCTCTTTTACTCGGAGCATCTTTCCAAGAGATCAATTGAATTATTTTGATTTTAATATCTGAGCATTATATGACATGCATTCACAATATAGGCAACTTACCTTTCACTGAACTAAGTAATTTAAAGTCATTTGAGCAATATAGTGTAGTGGTGATTAAGACTGTCTGGCTTCAGTCCTAGCCCTGCAAATCACTAGCTCTGTGACCTTGACGGTTATTTTACATCTGTAAGCCACAGGTACTAATCTATTAAATTGAGATAATGATAGGACCTTGCTCCCAACACACAGACACACAGACACATATACACAACTCTTCAATGTATTGTTGTGACCACTAGATAAAGCAATTTTATGTAAAATACTTTGCCTCATTTACAACAAACCAGCAATCATGTTTGATTCTATTGTTTTCAATGTTTTATTTTTCTTCTGGTCTTAATGTTTGATTTTTTGTTAAGTTTACTTATTTATTTTGAGAGAGAGAGAGAGAGAGAGCTAGCATGAGTGCGCGGGAAGGGCAGAGAAAGGGAAGGAGAGAACACCAATCAGTCTCTGCACTGTCAGTGTGCAGCCAGCCCATCATGGGACTCAAACTGTGAAATTATGACCTCAACTGAAATCAAGAGTTGCAAACTTAACAGACTGAGCCACCCAGGTGCTCCAGTGTTTGATATTTTAAACTTAATATCTGGATAAAAATTATCAGAAAAATACAAGGAAAAGAGGAACAATAAAAAAAAGCATTTCCACTCTATTTGCATTGAATTTCAAATGCTCATAACACACTGGGAGCAGAACAACAGATGAATTCCATCCAGAGGGAAGTACACATAACTTATGAAGCAGACATAGGAGAACAAGATTAATCACTCAGTTGCTTACCACACACATTGTGAGATATTGAATGTGGGTTCGGACTTTCTTACCAATAGTTTGTCATCCATTTCTTGAGTGGTTTTATATTTCCAGACTGCAAAAAAAAAAAAATGATTATATATGTGAAAAAAATGTAATAGGCTAGAGCACAATTTTAAGTGAGCCAGAATACCAGGCTCCGGAGTTCTGGTCTGTTCGCTTAGAGCCCTCCGCACAGGGAAATCTTCTGAGTGTAGTGTTGCTGACAGCCATCTCATTCACATGCAGCTTCCTCCTGGGTATAGCTCAGAGAGCAACAGCCCCCAGTCAGTGCAGGTTACTAAGCAACTCATCTCCCACTGAGGTATGCGAGGAAAGAAAGTCTTGATTTTAAAAACAAAAGAAAACCAAAAAGCCTGGCAGAGCAGAGCTAATAATACAATCTGCTCTTCTTAAGTAAATTAACCCTCAAGCTAGTTTACCTTTACCAGATGCACAGCCTCCTGGAAATTGAGTTAGAAAGCATGCTACAATTTTATAAATTAACTTCAAGCAATGTTTTTAATTAATGCTAATAAATTTTATGTTACACTGGAACCTCATATAGTGAATCTTATTGTGTATATGTGTCATCTTATTTGGGTGCCTGAATGGAAGCTATTTGTCATTTGAGTAATAGTTTTAGCAACTAAGCCACTTTTTAGCTTTGGATTTATGATTACTTTATTATTTTTCTTTTTTTTTTTTAGTATTCTTTTTCAGTTTTTATTTTTAATTTTTTTTTTTACAAATAGTTTATTGTCAAATTAGTTTCCACATAACACCCAGTGCTCATCCCCACAAGTGCCCTCCTCCATTCCCTCCCCCCTCCCCCCCACATCCATCAGTCCTCAGTTTTTGTCAGCATTCAAGAGTCTCTCATGGTTTGCCTCTCTCTATTATTTTTCATATTAATTAAGTCATACATACTTATAACAAAATTAATTTTGAAGTAGTTAATGCAAAAATGATAACAAAGTGTAGTTGACAGGATCATTAGACCTTATTTTAAGAATTCCAATAGAGGAGCACCTGGGTGGCTCAGTTGGTTAAACGTAGGACTTCAGCTAAGGTCGTGATCTCAGGGGTCATGGGTTTGAGCCCCACATCGGGCTCTGGGCTGACAATTTAGAGTCTGGAGACTGCTTTGCATTTTGTGTTTCCCTCCCCCACTCATGCTGTCTCTTTCTTTCTCTCTCAAAAATAGGTAAACATTTTTTTTTAATTTTAAAAAAGAATTACAAATAGATTTGTATGTGTTTGGGTGTTCCCTATATACCCCCTTGGGATGACACAATGAAACATTTTCTTGTTCTAATTCTTATTTTGATCAGCATTTGTGAAGTCTTGATTTATTCGGAGCAATGCACTAGACACCAGAGGGAGGGAGGTGAGAGGGGAAAATGAAGAAGATGCACCAAGAAATGACACAAGGTCCAATCACTCAAGAAGTATCCTTTTTTATGGAAGAGAAGCTTGCACATAGTGCAAGAGGTGATGGAAAGAGGAACAAAGAAGTTTTCCATTATGTCATAGTTAAGAAAATCACAAACTCCAAAAGGCCAAATCAGAGCATTACCCTTCTAACCTTTCCTGGGATAGGGCAAGAGACCAGTTTAGAAGCAATGTTAGAGAATTAGAACTCCCAAATAGAAAAGGGCATCAGTCTGCTAGCACACCATTATCTTTTAACCTTCTTCACATCACAGCATACATATAAAGAAAACCATTTCATTTTTATGATGCATTGAAATAAAAACACTTGTGTTAGAGGGGAGTGAAGCTCCAGTGACCCAGCTTTTGTCTTGCTTCCAAGGCACACCTGTAGCCCAGCATACTTACTTGGAGGCCCTGCTGCTTACATGGTTTAGTCCCCTGGAGAGCCAGAATCTTCAGTTTAATAGGAAAGATTATTGTCCCTACACCACTAACTATGGTATATGTGACGTGGCATGCTTAGCTAGGCAGACTAACACTCACCAGTGTATATGACCTTGAGCAAGGTAGCTTACTTTTCTAAATGTAGGAAAATAACAGGCAGTACCCTCACAAGTCCTGCTCGGTCTTGAAACAAAAGGAAGGATGCAGAGTGGTAAATACAGTCCTCAAAATACTCTCTCCAATTTTGAATCAAGTGGGGAAAATGAATGGAAGCTCTCCAGTGGGGGGGGGGGGGGAGAGGAATGGCCATATGTAAAGCTCTGTAATACTCAATCTGTTCACACACCATTATCAATCTTAATAATCTGGCTGCTGGGGGATGTGCTGATTGGAAATGACTGTTTCTGTTGCACAATAATACAGGGTTGTAAAACACACAGCCCATTTTTTTTAAATTTAAAATTATGTTTTATTCTTCTGGTATTTTTCCGTTAATTTTGATTTTTTAAAATATTGTGTTAAAATTTTGCTTTGGTTGAGTACTGACTTTTTTGATGCCCCTTTCAGTTTGCCGACACCACCCTAGTGTTGATCCTGAAAATAGGGATTCTGAAGGACCATTATAATTAAAAATAAAGTTTGTAAAATGCCTTCATAAGATCAGTACTTAAAGATAGTAGCCATTACCATCTCACCGTATGTACAGAGATGCTGTGTAGCTTTTACAGATCAGGAATCCATGCTGTGAGAACAGCATGCAGTTTAGCAAACATGTTCGAAAGGATAGACAGTGAGTGAATAGTAAGCCTCCAGTCCTGCTCAGCAAGGAAATGTTGATGATTCTTAACCAGAATGTGCAAGGGAAGGGTGCTACCCTTCTTCACTTCTGGGTCCCCTCTCATGTATCCCAAGCTGTACACCCAGTTGGCACTTCAGATCCTAATGATTGTTCTCAGGGTGCTTTCAGTCTTTGCCTGCAACCCAAACAGTCTGTAAGTACTGAAGTTACCAGTAGACCTTCACAAAAAGCTCTGATTCAGTCCGTTATGTTCAGCAAAATGCTGACAGCCTGCTCAACTGTGCTGTAAATCTTCTGTCTCTCCAGCTAGGTAACTCTTCTCTCTGGCTCAAAATTGATGCTCAGGGGACAGACCTGGGGATTTTGAATGCCCTTTCAGTGGGAAGAACAACTTCCTCATAGGAGCCTGACCAAATGTGTTCCCTGTGAGCAGTGCTCTGGGGAGGGTACGTGAGCCTCTCAAGCAACAACAGTAATTCAATAGCTTTCCTGTTTAAACACTTCACATGCAATACTGTGAGGGCTAAGGAAAATAACCCAGTGTGACACATCACCTGTCTCTGTCTCTGAGAATGATGTTCTGGGGTAATTTAATGGCAAACACAATAAAAGCACCAGTGTATAGTTAAATTTAAACACTGAAAAAATAGCACATTGACTGCTTCTAACTGCCTCCGTTTATTCTGGACATCGGTGTCTAGCAGAACAATTCCATGGTAATTTTGCTGTAAGTTGCCTTCATCATGGGAAGGCAAATTAAAAGTTGCTTTCTCTTTCCATTCCCTGACTGCAGAGAAGGGGGGCGGGAAACACAACAACCTGTTAAATATTAAAAAAAAAAAATTAGTCATCAAGAGAGAAAGTGCTTACAAAAGGAAAGTCCTGACAGAAAGTAATATCTAGACACAGCACAGGGCTTCTCATTTGTGATGACTTTGCAGCCTAAATAGTAAAATGTGCTCTTTCCTGGTCCACCTTGTTTCCACAGAGACCACGGCTGACAAACAGCCTGTCACCAACAGTTAGCACCCTTTGTCTGCCCTGGATGCTGAAGGCTCTGTGAGCAAAGAATGAGCAAATCTGGAATAAATATTAGCTGCTGATTTCATTCGCACTTGGAACCTTATCTCTCTCACCTCTGAGTCACTAAGGAGCTCTCAGATTTGCCTCAATCTGACTCACTTTACACTTTGACTTTCCTTCTGTCTGCTTTTTCCTCTTGTGCACCAGAAAGAATGCACTACAGGATGCTGCTGTGTTCTTCATTTGCTTGTTTAGAGCCTAGTTCAAACTTCTCTTTTATTTATTCTCTTTACAAAAGCCATATATGTGCCCTAAGCTACTCCAACAATATAGAAAGATAGAAGGGAAAACATTATAAGTCACTGAACATCTCATCATTAAAAAATGACCACAAGTCACATCTTGATGTAACTTTGTCCAGATTTTCCCCTGCTTCCCTCTCCTAATGAATTTATTCTCTATCCCTTTCTTTCACCCATTTATTTGAAATGCTACTTACACAGCAAATTCCCAAATATTCATAGACATTTTCTAGACTCATTTCCAGTGATTTATTTCATACTGACTCCGAGTTCAGAGGGCTCTTCAGATCCTTCGTAATGTGATTTAAGATGAAGAGTGTGCAGGGAGCCTGGGTGGCTCAGTCAGTTGAATGACTGACTTCAGCTCAGGTCATGATCTCACGGTCTATGAGTTTGGGCCCTGTGTTGGGCTGTATGCTGACAGCTTAGATCCTGCTTCAGATTCTGTGTGTGTGTCTCTCTGCCCCTCCCCTGCTCTCACTCTGTCTCTCTGTCTCTCTCTCTCTCAAAAATAATCATTAAAAAATAATTTTAAAGATGGAGGGTGTGCAGTGGAGAAGAGGACCTATCTGTCTCTTATGAGAGTTCTCAGTCCTCCTTTTATTAGACCAGCTTTTGTCTTTGCTGAGGAATTTGGCTTATGTGCAAGATTTGGTTTGAATAAAGAATTATGTGGCAAAAACAAATTAAAAGAAAACTCCACATTTTCTGTTTCATTTTTCTGTCAAGATATGAGTTGTTACTGTTGTGCTTTTGTAGCAGCCATTTTGATGTGACTGCACTGATACTATTGTTGTGAAGTGAGGATGCTTTTATACGGTCTCAAAAGCAATCACTGCATGTATGACTCATATGTGAGTACAGGATGAAACAGATGTCCTCACCTAATTCTTGAGCTGTCCTGGGACACACCTGGCCTTGTTCTGATGTCACCTGTTGATGTGTGACTCCATCCCAGGAAGAGAACAGGGTTCCCTCAAGGTCTGTGTTCATTCCTTGCTGTTCTCACCATCCACTGGTGCTGTAAAATTGAGACCTAGCCCCTAAGACCAGAGGATTTCACACTTGCTGACCCTGACTTGCTACCCAGAGTGTGCTCACCTAATACATCATCTTCCTTGCTATAGCAACTGTTGCCATATAAAATATGGAACTGAGGTGCCCCAGTTGCTCCTTGTCTGTTTTTATGGGCCAGAGATAGATGACCACCCTCATCGTTATATCCTCCTC